TTACTTTCTTGCCCTCTGTAGAGGGCCGTGGCAGCATCACACTGCTCACAGCAACCTCCAGCTCTTGGGCTTAGTAATTCTCTTGCCTCAGCCTCCCGAGTAGCTGGGACTACAGGCGCTTGCCACAATGCCCAGCAATTTTTTTGTTGCGGTTTGGCTGGGGCCAGGTTTGAACCCACCTACTCACTGAGCCACAGGTGCCGCCCCGCCTAGCTATTTTTTATTGCAGTTGTCATTATTGTTTTAGCTGGCCTGGGCTGGGCTCGAACCCGCCAGCCTCTGTATATGTGGCTGGCACTGTAACCACTGTGCTTTGGGTGCTGAGCCACCATCATCATCATTATTAACTTCAAGGGGTGATAAGCATTCAGAAGAATAAGGTATCTTTTCTTCCTTTTATGGTGGTAATAAATAAAAGAAAGAAAACAACAGAAAAAAAAAGAAGAAAAACTATAAGGTAGTCTAGGCACAGTGACTCAGGCCTGTAATCCTAACACTCTAGGAGGCCAATGCGAGAGGAATGCTTGTGCTCAGGAGTTCATGACCAGTCTGAGTAAGAGTGAGACTCCCAATTCTACTAACCACATAGAAAAGTTAGCTGGGCAAAACTGTGGTGGGTGCCTGTAGTCCCAGGTACTTGAGAGGTTGAGGCAGAATTGCTTGATCCCAGAAGTTGGAGGTTAGGCTGATGCCACAGGACTCTAGCCTGGGGCAATAGTCTCAAAAGAAAAAACAAGAATTTGAAGAAGAAGGCAGCAAAATAAGAAAGCAGAGAGTGAACAGTGGCAGTGGGGGGAGGTAGGGAGGTATGCAAGTCAGCAAGGTGGCATCTGAGCAGACACCTGAAGGAAATGAGGGACAAGCTGGCAGAAGGTCTGAGATGGGAGAGTTATATGCACTACAAGTGAAGTGCATAGGCCAGGAAGTAGGACAGAGCCTGGCAAGTTTGTGGAGCTGAAAGAAGGCTGGAAGGGCTGCAGTAAGCATGTGAAGGGGTGGGAGAGGCAGATGGGGCTGGGTGACTGGCAGGTCAGAGTTGGGGGGCTTAGCATTTGTTAGCAGAGGCATAGGACATGTGGAGCTTTTAAAGCCTTTTGTTTGATCCAGTGAGGGGCAGCAATGGGCTAGTGCTCCTAGGGCTGAGAAAGCCTCAGCCAGAGATTCCCAAAGAGTGTCCCAGGGACTACCTGCCTTGGAATTATGTGGCATGAGCTAGGACATGAGGGGTTCAAACTGATAGTTGTGAACAGGCTCCCTCTGGCTGCTGGGGCAGGACAGACTTTGAGGGCAGAGGATGAACCAGGGTAGGGGCCATAGAAGTGAAAGAGGCAGGTGGTTCTGGATGGGTTTAGGAGGTAGAGCCAAGAGATCTTGCTCAAGGATGAATAGGACAGGAATCACAGCTGACCCTGGGCCTGAGAGGACAAGGAAGTTCTCAAAGGAATAAAGATAAAAAGAGGAGAAAACCTCCAGAATACAATGTGGCTGTGCTCACTCAACAAACCTGTTTGCCCCTGAGTAGATGAGTCAATAGTAGCTATACACGGGGTCCTAGGGGTCAGGGCTAAGGCCCAGAGTAAAGACTTCAGTGTGGACATCGAGAATTGTGACATGGGAAAATAACATGATGAAGAGGGAGTTACTTGCCACTAATGGTGAGCCTAGGACTCACCTTCCGTTGCTAATGAGATCAGGGAGATGAGAAGGAAACAGCAGAGGGAACTGAGAAGGGGCCACAGGGAAGTGGGTACACACCTGGGCAGCCCAGGCTCCTACAGGCCTCACAGGAAGGCATCTTTGGGAGAAAAGGGACAAGCTGCAGAGTGTGCGAGCAGGAGGCTCCAGGTTAAAATGGAGGCTGTTCTGCCTTTACGGGCAGATGGAAAAGATGTGTGAGAGAGGGACCAAGCCAATAGGAACAATCACAGGAGCCAGTCCTAGAGGGAATAGCCTGGGATACAGCCACATGGCCTGAGACAGGTGTGGGGTCCCTTCATCCCTAAGAAGTAGTGAGAAGGCATAGCTAGTGGGTACAGACAGACCCTAGGAGATGGGCAGAAGGGGTTCTTGTGGTCATCTGATGGTACCCTATCCCCAGTATAGTCAACTATAGGGTTAGGGACTAGGAGTGCAGTGTGAGACAGGGAGGCAGCAGTGAAAGATGGGCATGTGGGGAGTGGGATTCTTGGGTACAAGGGAGCACTGGCAAGAAAACATCACAGGGCTACTGGGCATTACTGAGAACCTATCAGAGATTTCAATATGATGACCCTGGCCATAACCTCTACCAAGGCAGGGCTGGGTCCACATAGACATCCCGCCACACCAACCATATGATAAGAGTCACTGCCCCTGATCCCCTGCATGTCCCTATCCCCTCATCTTCCCTGGGGACCTTGGCCCTCCCATATAGACACTGTAAGAAGCCTCTGTGACACTGCCCAGAGCTCCAACCCCTTCTACTTCACAGGCCAACATCAATTGCCACATTTTTTTTTTTTTGAGACAGAGTCTTACTTTGTCACCCTCGGTAGAGTGTTGTGGTGTCACAGCTCACAGCAACCTCAAACTCTTGGGCTTAAGCGATTCTCTTGCCTCAGCCTCCCAAGTAGCTGGGACTACAGGTACCTGCCACAACACCCAGCTATATTTTTGTTGTATTTGTCATTGTTGTTTGGCAAGGCCTGGGCTAGGTTCAAACCCACCAGACCCGGTGTATGTGGCCAGCACCATAATAGCTGAGCTATAGGCGCCAAGCCCAATTTTTCTATTTTTAGTAGAGATGGAGTCTCACTCTTACGCAGGTTGGTCTTGAACTCCTGAGCTCAAGGGATCTTCTGGCCTTTGCCTCCCAGAGTGCTAGGATTACAGGTGTGAGCCACTGTGACTGGCCAGCTGCCACGTATTTTGATAACTCTCTATGGTCCTGTGGTCCCCAACCATGTCATGACCTGCCCTTTCCATTCCTCTCAGGATGCCCTGATGATCCAGACACTTCCTTTTCCACTTTGGGGAAGACCAGGGCCAGCACTGACGTGGGCTTAGGTCCTCTCTGCTTCACAGGGCAATCCAGCCTGACACCCAGGCTGTACCACCATTCTCATTGAAGTACTAAGTCAGACAAGATGGCCCTCAGATAGCCCTCAAACAAGCCAGAACATTCCAGGCATTACAGAAAAGTGCTGCTATATTTACTGTGGGAAATGCTCAAGGGGTGACAGGTTTGTCTAAGATGACCTGTTCTGAAGCCAAGTCCTGTGTGCCTCAGCTTGTCATGAGAAAGGAAAACAAAAATAAAAAGCTAAAGCACAAAAGAAAACAATCCCCACTAACAGTGCCCATCCCCAGTTCTGAGCCTAGTCCCTCTCCCTTGTCCCTTGGAGGAGTCACTACTTGTCCCAACTCTCTGGTCCCTGTCCCTCAGCCCACTCATGTCATGGAAAGAACCAGGGCATGGGGGAGACAAATCCCTGGGAGCGCCATGACCCAAGCACCTGGTCATTTTCTCCAAGGCAAAAAGGGGCACCGCACTCACAAACATCTTGGCCCCTGGATCCTGCCAGAAACAACAGGATAGTTCCTCTCAGAAGGGGAGTTGTCACCTCCAGGTCCCTAGCTGACTTCCCTAAAGTAACCACTCTAGGTACTTTAGCCCAGCTGTGAGCACCTCTCACATGTCCCCTGAGAGCAAGAAGCTGTGACCATCCCTTCACAGATGGGGTAACCAAAGCAGGAACCTGGAGCTCACACTCTGCCTGCCACAGGTGTCTGAAAACTTTGATTCCACTGCTCAATCCTCCGTCCAGTGACATCTTACTTGGGGATGGACATAAGAACAGCTCAAAGAGCTGCCCTGGTGGAAAGGGGTATCCATCTCCCACCCTGGATACTGATCTCCCACAGGCTCCTTGGAGTTATTCAGAGAATCCCTGGCTTGGAGCACAAAGCACTTACCAGAGACGGTGACCACAATGTACTGCTGGGAGGCAGGGGTCGGGGTGGGTGCGCCAGCTGGCTGGGAGGGTGCCGGTGCGGCTGGGAGCTCCGTCACGTACTGCTTCTGGCTGCCCGGTGGCTGTGCCTGGGGCTGGGGGCTCTGTAGCTCAGTGACATACTGGGGCTGGGGAGTGGCAGCGGTGGTGGGAGGCTGGGGGGGCTGCGGTGCTGCTGGGGGTGGCGGCTGGGGCTGGGCCTGTTGCGGGGCCTGCGGCGTCTGGGATGGTTGCGGGGCCGCCTGTAGCTCAGTATATGCCTGTGTTGCCATGCCAACGGTGGGGAAAATTATAATAAATAAGGCTTTTTTTCCCTCTTCCTTGAGAAGAAAGAATGGGAGGGGGGAAAGGAAAAAAAAGAAGGAAAAACAAGAATTAATCTACAGGCAGAAGAAAGCAGGGACAGCTCCTGGCTCCCTGGAGATGCATTTGGGTTCATCAGTAACTTAATTAAATCCCAAGGCTTATGGCCAGATATATCTAACCCATCCCTGCAGGGTGAGAGGATATAGATCGAGGCTGGATCCCAGCTCTTTGCCTCTGTTCACCCCGGGCTGGGACTCCTACCTTCTTCCTACCCAGTCCCTGGTACCCAGAGACCCCACATTCTGTAGGGTCACATTTCTCCATGCCTAGGAGGACTTGGGCCTGTCTGGTGGCTCTGATGATGCTCTAACCTGGAGATGAATGGTGCAGTTCTCACTGGGTTGGGCTCCCAAATGCTAAGGGCAGCCTCTCCCCTTGCTCCTTCTGCTCCACTGAGGACAACAGTGGACATCTCCTGAGTACTCCTGTAGGCTGAGCACTGTGCTAAGTGCTTCCCTACGTAAGTAACTTCGTTTAAAACTTTACGACGACTACATCCGGCTTTGGGTTTAGTCTTCTAGATGAGGCTGGGAGAGGTGAAGGCACATGTACAAAGTCACACAGCAGGGAAGTAAGTGGCTTGAGTAAGGGTTGAGTTTGAACCCTGGGCATTCTGTGGCCTTGACTATTGTCAGAAAGCAAAGTCATGAGGAAAGCTGTCTCTCAGTAAGCCCATGCCAGGTTCCTATATGCTTTCCATCTGGACTTGGGAGTCTCAACTGAGTATCATTTCCCAGAGGGTGCCGGACATGGAAAGATATATGAGGCTAAAAAGCAGCCCTGAGCTGGTTGTGGCCACAGCAGCCTTCAGGCCCTCTGCACAGGGTGGTTATGTGTCTTGACACCGGATGTAATGTTATGTGTCTCGGCACCGGAGGCAATGCCATCCTGAGGCCAGGGTCAAGCCACTGCTGACCTCAGATTGGGGCCAGCCTAGCAAGGCAGTAGAAGCAGCTTTTCTGGCAACTAAAATGCCATGGTCCCTCTCCCAGGTGCTAGGCTGGGCAGATGGTTTTGGGGCCCCTGCACTAAGAAGCCTCATCCCTAGGTTCTGGAGATAGTGGAACAAATGAGTAGTAAAGAGAAGCTTCAACTCCTTGCACTGCCATGGCTCCTGCCTGGTGTCTGGAGGTGTTTGCATTTGAGAGCCCCACCTATGGTTGGTCATGACCCTGGGCAACACTGTACCCTGGCTGGCACTGAACTGGAGGCTCTTCTGCACTAGCCCTTGACCACTGTGTGATGCACCCAGATGGCCCTTTGCAATAGGGCGATCCAGAGGGCAGGTTTCAAGAAAAGGAGTAGAAAAACAACTGCTGCTTTACTGACTACATCCTTCCAACACCCCTGTTCGGGAAGAGCTATCACACCCATTTTACAAATGAGCTGAAGAATACAGCAACTGGTAAGGGGAGGATTTGAACCCAGGTCTCTCTGGCCCCCATATATGCAATCTTAACCCCCAGTCACAGAGCTCATCTGCTGTTCACAATCAGTAAACAGCATCTTCCCTGTTTCTCTGATGAGAGACTTGAGCACCACCTGCAGAGGTTATGCCACAGGCCCAAGGCTCCTATTAGGGCAGTATAACTGGTGATTGGGGAGCCAGGAGCTGGCCTGAGCAGCCCAGGGCAAGCCAGGCACATTCTTCACATCTCCTTGTATCTGTTTCCCTGAGGTCCCAGTTCTGCCCTTTGATACCAAACTTAAGAGGTGCCTGAGTCAGAAAGGGGAAGGCAGGTGAGAGATAAGCCCTGGACAGGGCTAGATGTGTGACCTAAACTTGGCTATCTCCTAGCAGCATGACTTTTAGGGAGGACCTCCACTGCCCCAACTGTGAAATGGGAAGATAGCAAGCCAGACCAAGCAGGGCTGGCTGGAGTTCAATCTAATTGTGTGGGCAACACCTTGCCAGGCATTTGGCATGTCATAAGCACTCAGGAAATGGCTCTGGCTCCCATCACTGCCCAGGGCCCTTTAATAAGGTTCCAGGAAAGACGAAAAAGCCTCCTGGCCCTGCCTCCCTGCCTTCCATCCGATAGTGAGAGCTCTGGACTGCCAAAAACAAAGAACATTGGCTTCTGCCTGCCATGCCACTTGGGTGTGCTCTCTGGCCTTGGGGCAGGCTGGGGACAGGCTGCAGGACTCTGCTTGCTAGTATGGGCCTGCCAAGGTTGGGTCATTGGGCAGGGAGGATGGAAAGACCTTTGGAGTTTCCAAATGACCTGCCTCAGTGTTCAGAGAGCAGGGAAATTTGCCCACCTAGAGAAAAAGAGGCCTGCTCCCTGCCTTATACAGGGAGAGGATATCTTCCTCCAGCCCCTGCCCTCTTCAAATTCCTTTATGCCACCATAAAAGAGTTCCCTGGGGCTCCTCACACTAACAGGTCCAAATCTGGCTCAGCTCGGATACTTGAGTCGCTATAGCCAATCAGTGTTTGTCTGCCTGTTGTCAGACCTGCCTGACATGAACCCTTGCACTATGTCTTAACTCAACAACATGTTTCCCAGCTTCCTCTAGGCTGCAGTTTGCCCACTGTTCACCTAGGAATGATGAGAACCACCAACCAATTCATGGAGTTGCTGTAAAGATCAGTGATTGACTCAGCACCTGAGAAGCACTCACAAGTGGCAGGTACTGTTTATTATTCATTCAACAAACATCCATGCTAGGTGGGGATAAAAACAGAAAGAGACAAACAGGGTCCTTAAACTCTTGGAAGGAGGCACCAAGAAATCCACCTGTAGCATTCATCAGCATTACCAGCATTTGGGGAGCTGGTTAAGATGCAGATTCCTGGACTGCACTGCCCAGAGAGTCTGAGATGATCCCAGAGTCTGTTTTAGCTAGCTCTCTAGATAATTCTGAGGCAGGTGGTCCTGAGGGCACTCTCTGAGAAACCCCAGCCTTGGCTTTCTCAGCCCTGAGAGGTAGCTTTTCGTACATACTTCCATAAGGTTTTAAAGGCTCCTCACTCCCTGGCTCTTTCTCCTCCTGGGGATGCAAAGCGTGCAGGCCTTATCCATTCCACTCAGGGGGAAGGGGAGGAGGCAATGATGAGTTCCTGAAAGCCTAAGCTCAAAAGGGTGGATATTGATGAACAGTTAAACCAATTTCTCTACAGAAGGCCTTTTCAGCACTGTTATTGTCGATCTGTCTCCCATAATTATTTGACCAGGGAACTCCTTTATTCCATTTGTGGATGACTTTAAGCAGTTGGGCTGGTGTATCCCTAGAGAGCACGAAATCACATATATCTATATAGCATAAGGTATAGCTAGGCATTGTGGTGGGCACCTGTAGTCCCAGCTACTTGGGAGGCTGAGGCAAGAAAATCACTTGAGCCCAAGAGTTTAAGGTTGCTGTGAGCTATGACGCCACGAAGAGTTTGAGGTTGCTGTGAGCTGTGACACCACATTACTCTACCAAGGGTGACATAGTGAAACTGTATCTCAAAAAAAAGAAAGATAGGCCATAGATAAGAGGTAAACAAAACAAAAGGCTCTGTGCCAATAATACTTTATTTCTAGATACTGAGATTTGAATTTCATATAATTTTTGCAGCATGAAATATTAGTCATAAAATATTCCTTTGATTTTTTTTCCCAATCATTTAAAAGTGATTTTTAGCTTACATGCAAAAACAGGTGGCAGGCCACAGTTTGCCAACCCCTGTTTTAGATACCAAGTTCTATAACTAAATGGTTTATATCCCAGGTGAAGCCCTCCCAAGAAAATGGAAAGAAAACTCACTTTCCTCATCTGTAGAATGGTTTCAATAATAAACTTGCCAAAGAATGGGAAAATTAAATGTCTTTTAGATCCAATTTGTTTATAAGACTGGTCAATTATTCCTCTAAAATTACTCCTAAGGCTGGGCATTTCTCTCTATTTATTTTATTTTTTTAATATGGCTATTTTTTTTTTTTTTTTTGTTAAGAGACAAGGTCTCGCTCTGGCTCAGGCTGGTCTTGAACTCCTGAGCTCAGGCAATCCACCCGCCTCAGCCTCCCAGAGTGCTAGAATTACTTGCATGAGCCACTGCACCTGGCTAGGCACTTCTCTCTATATTCATCAACATTGCGCTGGTCAGAGCTGCTGTCAGCTTTTGTCTAGACCAGTGTTCTCAACCTTCCTAATGCTGTGACCCCTTAATACAGTTCTTCTTCAAATAACTGTAATTTTGCAGTTATGAATTGTAATGTAAATATCTGATATGCAGGATGTATTTAGGGGACCCCAAATGGGTCACAACCCACAGGTTGAGAACTGCTGGTCTAGACCCAAGAAGCTTCAGCTTCACTCTTACCTCTATAGTCTATAAGATCCTTTGAAAACATAGATCCTATCTTGTCATAACCTCTGCTCAGAAACTGCCAAAGCTCCCCATCACAGCTCCTAGAAAACTGAAGAGCACACAGTGGGGCTCAACTCTTATTGTCCAGTGAATATAAATGTATTAGGAACACACTACTAGTGAGCATCAAAGACCAGCTGCAATCTATCAATTGGTGAGGTCTTGTGAGAGAGTAACTGCCTCTTCCCAGCTGCAGGCTGTGCTATAGGGGAGGCCATTGCTTACTGTCCAGAACATGTAGGAGAAAGTTTCTCTACCCAAAGAAGACTGCACTGTGTAGTTGCTATCTGAAGACAGTATCCTCAAGAGGATCTACCTGGACATATCCTGCCCCAAGATGCTTACGCATGTGACAGAAGAGGAAGACAAGGACCTCAGCTCAGAAGATACCCTTCTCAAATTCCTACCTCTCCCATGATATTATACCTCAACTCATCCAGCTGCCTCCTGGAAGACTTGGGACTGAATCTGGGACTGGGTCCAAGCAGGATTTTTCTTTCTGGCTACTCTCCTAAAGCCAGAGAAAAGCCATTTAGCATCAAGAGGAGTGACACTTTCCCACTACAAATTCGAGTCCTGGTATCT